AAATGTTGAAATTAACATTTACAAAGATTAACAAATGCTGTAGAAGTATTGTTCATTCTTAGTTAATGTTAACTAATGAACCTTATTGTAAAGTGTTACTGTTTTTATTTAGTTTAGCTTTTTTGTTGTTTTTTAGAGATAAAAACAGAAAATAACGTTTTTTTTTATCAAAGTGAACAAACACTTTTTGGGGCCACTGTAGTTCTTAAAATAGTCAAGTTGCAAGGAAGATGGTTTGGCGGAACTGCGCATGTCTACGGGCGTTCGGTGGGCGGGGCCAAAGGTGTCTTTACTTAAACCGAGAATCAGCTGACACTTTCACCTCACTGTATCCAGAGCACGAGCTGTGCTTCATGTGAACAGGGCGGAGCTGAAGGTCCTCACTGTACTCAAGGACATTTGCTCTCCAACAGCTGTGTCGTCTTTCAAAAGACACAGCAACAAGTAGGCTATATGAGACTTCAGCCCCCCGAATAAAAACAAGGAGCTCTCCCCATCATGGCAGAGTGCAGAGTTCACCATCACCGGACCGAATCCTGCCATTGAACATCACACATATGAAATCCGCAGCTCGAGATAAAGCCCATATGACGCAGCAGGGCTCTCCACGGCACTGATGCCATATTAAACCCGCCGCCCTCCACCCACACCATCAATCTGATGTGGAGATCGAAGATAGGAGGGCTCACATGACTCCACTCCAGACTGGAAGGCGAGGAGAAGTGTGGCATCTTCCAGCATCAGCACTGCCACAGCTGGCACAGCTCATCCATGCGTTCTCCCGATAACCGCGCACAATAGGAGGAGGAAATATCCACGCTTTTCCCTGGATTTGGATCTGAGTCTGCGGATGAGCAGCGATGGGGGAATGGACCATACTAGAGAGGCTCTTGGAGGCTGCTGTCCAGCAGCACTCCACTATGATCGGGAGGTAAGGGCGAATGTCAGTGTATCTGTCGGGTTTAGCGCGTGTCAGGCTTTGCATCACGTTTGGAGGAAAAAAATGACGTTTTTAATACGTGCAATCGGGCGCAATCGTCTGTTTCGCTCTTCAAATACAGTATTAAATAAGATGAGAAGCAAAAAAATATGGAAAATTGGTTTCCATACTGGTTTCAGCACTGGACAGCTCCCTTTAGTTTCAATGCCACTGACCCCGTGTTTCTATTGTTGTTTTTTGCTTGGTTTTAAGCCATGTCTGAACGAAATGTGGTGTTTATTGGCAGGTGTGCACAAACAAGGCGTCACCGCTGATTTCTCATTAAAATACCGTTGAAAAATGAAATAAATCGCCGGTGAAATGTAGCAGAATGCATCATGCCGTGGTTGTGAACGCGCCTCAGTACCCACACTGATGAGTAGATGGATTAATATATTCCTAATAGATTGCTTTGTTCAAAGCCACATTTTTGAGGCTTTTTGCCAAGTGTAGGCTACAATGAAGGGAGACATATTTGCATAATGCATGTGCAAATTAGAAAGAAACTGACGGTAAAATAAAAAAGAGAATGCATCACATTTTCACTTTGGCGTGCCTATTCGTTTGTGCCGATTTCATTTCAAGCCATGTTGGGTGGAGACGTGGAGTGATTCAGTCCTAAATTCACAGATGACACCTGCACGATCCGTATATGCAGCATATGATGCTACAGTGAAGGTTGCTAAAGCGCTCCCTACACCTCACACATACTGACACGTTTATGTTTCTGTGTGCTTGTTCTTTAGGATCCTACTAACTGTGGTGGTGATCTTCCGGATCCTAATCGTAGCTATAGTGGGAGAGACGGTGTATGACGACGAGCAGACCATGTTCGTGTGTAACGCCTTACAGCCGGGCTGCAACCAGGCGTGTTACGACAAAGCGTTCCCCATATCGCACATCAGATATTGGGTCTTTCAGATCATAATGGTCTGCACGCCGAGTCTGTGCTTCATCACCTACTCGGTCCATCAGTCGGCCAAGCAGAAGGAGCGGCGCTACTCCACCGCCACCGTCTTCCTCACGCTGGACAACAAGGAGCAGGATTCCCTGAAACGAGAGGAGGCCAAGAACCAAAAGATCAAGAACACCATCGTGAACGGAGTACTGCAGAACTCGGAGAACTCCACCAAAGATCCCGAGCCCGACTGCATGGAGGAGAAGGAGCTGACCAGCTCGGGCAAGAAGCCGGGCAAGTCCAAAATGAGGCGTCAGGAGGGCATCTCCAGGTTTTACATCATTCAGGTGGTGTTCAGAAACGCTCTGGAAATCGGCTTCCTGGTGGGCCAGTATTTCTTGTACGGATTCAACGTGCCCGCCGTGTACGAGTGCGACCGCTACCCGTGCATCAAGGAGGTGGAGTGTTACGTGTCCAGGCCCACGGAGAAAACCGTGTTCCTCGTCTTCATGTTCGCGGTCAGCGGCTTTTGCGTGGTCCTCAATCTGGCCGAGCTCAATCACCTGGGCTGGAGGAAGATCAAAACGGCCGTGAGGGGCGTGAGGGCGCGCAGAAAGTCCATCTACGAGATCCGGAACAAGGATTTGCCCCGGATGAGTATGCCCAACTTCGGCCGCACTCAGTCCAGTGACTCCGCCTACGTTTAAGCGCGCGCGAGTGCCGCCGTCGCCACGTAAGGTTCGTGAATTGCAAGAACACGGGGTAGGACCTTTTTTTGTTACTGTTTTAAAGACTTCCTTGACGACTGTGGACGACAAACACGTTTGTAAAGCAGTTCACTACTGTATAATGCAACTTTTTAGCAACGTTTGTACTCTGAGACGTACACACTGGTAGCTGACGGCGCGTCGGTGACACTTTACACGGCACTGTCCGTGTCGCGCACAATGCATGCTGTAGCTACGATTCGTTACAATACATACGAGCGACGACGGATGTGTGACGTGAACACTGACGTGTGAAGTGTGACCGAAGAAGCTGCAAGGGAGTAAATACGTCTTGCACTAAAAAGTAGCCTACATCGGGAGAGTCTTCTTGACACACCATTCATATATCAAACGCTATGATTTCGTTTCGTTTCGGTTGCCTGCACTGCACCGCTGACCTTAACGTAGACCTTAACTCCATCGCAGATTTGCTGTTGTGCGCGTGCGAATCTGCTGCGAACGCTTAACGTCTGTGATCGGTTCAACACCAAAGCACATCATTGGTGACGTGTTTTTTCGCGCTTACGTGTAATCAAGTGCCATACTTGTATATAAATATATGCATATATACATATAAAATCTATTCCGAAGAATATAACCATATCCATAAAGCAGATTTATTGCGTGAATTATGCTCCAGACTTGCTTTAGCCGTATTCGTTGTAAATGAACTGAATTGAATTGAGTAACGCATTCTTCCTTCTCCATGGTTTTGGGAAACGGCCCGGCTGGAGGACGCTCGTCTTCTCGCTCCCCCGGCGGTGTTTTCTGCTCCGGTGCTGGTTTTTCACCGAACAGTTTTGTGGGATAGCCGTATAGCCTGCCGGATCTCTTCCACCCTCCGACGTGACGACGCAGCTAGGCGTGCGCTTTCGCCGGGCCTTGTGTGCAATACTACTTTTTCTTTCCATTTGAATGATTCCTTATGATTATGCCACCGTATATATTTACGACAAGCAAAATGCGTGCACAGAGAGCATTTCTGAGCTTGAAGGGAAAGCATTGCATGTTTTAAGAACTTATATTCTGGACAATGTTGAGCTCGGGGATGAGCTTGGGAATGTTACACGTCTCTGGAAGGTCACTGAGGACACTGTTGTAACGGTGCAATCTTCCCTTTTCTCTCAGTTATTATCCCTCTCTCCTCTTGGAAAAGACATTTGTAGGAGAAAAATGAAAGATCTAAAAACGGACTGTATACTGGACCTGAAAGAGCACAGCTTTAATAAAACATGAACCGGTATCTCTCTTGCCTTATATGTACCGCAGTCCCCCCCCCCCCCCATCTCTCAGTCTCCCCGTGCATTTTCTGCAAGAGCCGACGTGGTGTTTTTACAGCTCCTCCTAAATGACAAAATGATTGGGTTATGTATGAATGTAATTCTGCATGCTGTGATGTGTCATACATCATGAGGCTCGGCCGCCCGACAGACAGAGGGACGCTGCTGCCTTTTGCTGAGTTCAAACCAACTAAACATGTCTTGTTCATTCATCAGGCCTGAGATGACAAAAAAACAAAAAACCTTAGCATGGGATGCCGTTACTTCAGGTACACAAACCAAGAGAAATCCAGCAGTGTGTACGGGTGTCTTTGTTTCCTTAGGAGCCGTCGTCGTCTGAAAGATTTTTGCCACCGTGAAGCCGACGACGGTATGAGTCACATATAAAAGTCTCCTTGTAATTTTATCTTGATCGATTTGCATATTGATAAAAAGGGCCTTGCATGTAGTGAACGCTGAAAACGCCGGGCTGCTCCGTTCTGAGGATGTGTAAAACTGAATGAAATGAAGATGGATGATATACTGTGAATTAAATCCACTTCTTTACAAAGATGGTGATATAAACGATGGGCCTGATCTTTTTGTTTTCTTGCCGCACACACACACACACACACACACACACACACATACACTAAAGCCGCTCCTCTGAGATTTGACTGAACTGCAGTGTCCTGCGCAGAAACTCTGCAATGCACAACTGCTCTCACCTGCACATCTCTGAACACGTGTGTGTGTGTGTGTGTGTGTGTGGATACAGAAGAGTAGCACAACTGTCATCTTATAACGACTGTTAAATGGGGCGATGGGGTCCATATATCAGAAGTGTATAATAGTGTTTGTCATTAAAGTATTGTGTAATTCATTTGATGTTGATAGATTTCCAAAGCAAACAAACAAAGAGCTATCAATAAAAATAAATTAATCATTTAAAATACATGACCGTTGATTTGTTAATTAATTAAAAGACATTTTCTGTTTTTTTTTTTGTTTTGTTTTTTTTGTGATTATCATTTGGGACAAGTACACGTTCAAAAGATCATGACTAGCATAACCTCTCCGTCTCCGCACTTCTCTGTTTTACTACGAGGGATTATGAATTCATTTTGCATGTATAAAACAAACTGCAGTTATAATAATTGTACATTATAACATGAAGATGTAATCAAATGCAATGTAATTTTGGTTATGTTCCTTCTTAAATATTGTTGTTATAATTTCAACTGTTCAACTTTTCCTCCCGCACTTAAAAATAAAGCTTATTTATTGGCAAAAATGGTTCCATGAAGAACCTCATATTTATGGGGAAAAGATTCTGTACAGCAGAAAAAGGTTAAAGTATTCTTCACATTATCTATACAAAACACGGTCCCAAAATGGGGTTTTCATAGCGATGCCATTAGAAGAACCATTTATGGTTCCCCAACGAACCGTCCATTAAAGAACCATTTTTTTCTTAGTGTGTAAAAAAAATCTAAAGAACCTTTTTCTGCTATAAAGAACCATAAAGGTTCCATGGATGTTAAAGGTTCTTCATGGAACTGTTGATGCAGATAAAGAACGTTTATTTTTAAGAATAGTTCTTTTAAGAAGTGTTCACTGAAAGGATCTTTCAGGAACTGAAAGTGCAGTGAAAAAATGTAAATGCTTTATCTAATCAAAAAAAAAATTGTGCAATATTATTAATTAAATTTAACAAATTAGAATTGAGTAATAATTAATCAAATTAATTCCTTAAAAGTTAACCATTTAAAATGAGTAAAACTTACAACAACAACCAAAAAAACATAAATTTATGTCACCATTATGGTGATCGGTGTTGGTTTTAGGTTTGTTTTAAAATTACGTGTTGTTAACATCAGGTGTCTTCAATGTTGGCAATATGAAATAAAGAGTTCTTAATTAATCTTTGACGTGAGATATTTTTGTAAAAAAAAATTTTTGGTGTAAACTAACTCATTTTAAATGGTTAACTTTTAAGGAATATTTGTAATTCAATTTTAATTTGTTAAGTTTAATTAATAATATTGCTTGTAATCTGTTGTCACAATTCTATTGATTAGATAAAGCAAATGCATTTTTACAGTGTGGAGTGAACAAAACCCTGTTGGGACCTTTCCATTGCTTAAATGGTTCTGTAGATTTTTAAAATATTCTTTACACTAAGAGAAAAATGGTACTAATTAAGAACTAATCACTGAAAAGCTATTTTGGAAATCAAAAATGTTAGTTCTCCCGTGGCATTGCCCTGAAACCGAACCACTGGCAACACTGGAATCTTTTATGCCCGAAAACGACTGACACATAGTATGATAGCACTGTAATCCAAATAAGCCAAAGGCCACCAAATAGATACAACACTCTAAGTTGTTTAGTTGATGTTTTATCCTTGTCAGAGCACAATGAAAACACATTTTCATTATGAATCAGTCCTGGGTCACACACAGCGTCAAAGCTTAACCTGGCCACATGTGACTAGTGCGATGAAAGCAATTATTATGAGAGCTTACACACACACACACACACACACACACGAAGAAAACTGTAGGTTATTTATAGATTAGCATCAGTTCTATTGACTGTTGTGGTTCTTTATTGCTAAAGCAGAGCGGTGTATTCATCTGAGGAATCACGTCCCATAATGCACATAATGCTGTAATTAACACGCAATACTGATAATTAAGCTGATGAATTTACACATCAATCATTTCCAGTGATGTTATATGTAATCTGTTGTCAACCAGAACACTCCCCCCTCCCCCCCTCTCTCTCATCTCTGCTGACTCTCTCTCTCTCTCTCATCTCTGCTGACTCTCTCTCTCTCTATTATCGCTGCTGACAGGTGAGGTAGCAGCCCTTGTAGCCAGACCAATTGTTCCTGATAAATGTATACGATACGCACCATTTGCCAGCCAATAAAATTCACTGGATGACCAACCCTAATCACTAAAAAAGCTGTTCTCTGTCTAACAAGATTAGAGCCGGCCAAACAGACTGAGCATGTGGAGTAGAGAAAGTGCTAATGGTGAATGGAAAAGAAAATGGCTAAAGAAACAAGAAGTATAAATAAGAATTTATGTCGTGCCGCATCTGAGAGAAGACGGCTGGTATATTTTGTCATCTTGGTTATGAGTGGCATTTGCGATAAATCATGTTTTCAGAGGCTGGGGTTGGTTGGTTAATTTATGGTTTTTTACATGCCGTTACAAAAATACAACATGAATGTTTGTCCTGTTGACCTCAAAACATTCAAAGACTACAAATTGTGGAAGTTGTAGTCTTTTAATGTCAAAATATGATGCCCCTTAAACCACTGGCTGTCATAATGTAGAGAGAGATATTTAAATAAATTAATGTAAGTTCGTTTTATGAACAATCAGGAAAACTATGAACTATCAGAGATATCTATGAATCTTTCAGGTCATCAACTAAATTAAATAGTTATTTTTATACAACAGTAGTTCTGGTTCTCGAATCTGATTGGCTGAGAGCCTTTTCCAGCCATGCGATATTCTACTATCTCACACAGAAACCGTTTCACAATTTGTATGACTTGTTTCTGATCGATCTATAGCCTACTTACTGGCTGCATTTCTCACGAAGAGCAAATAACACACTATCATTTAAAAAATAGGCATAATACTGTTTTTTTTTTTTTTTTGTCACAGAAT